CCCCCCAGATTTGCAATAACCATACACCGGCTATTTCCTCAAGACACTCTATTCCATATACCTTTTACCCGTGCTTCTCCTACACTACGGACGCCCTAGTGTATGTACAGTCCGTATGATGTCAGAAATGCTTACCCCTCTTTCCGACTCAAGGCATACAAAAGCGGAGGGTAAATTTACCCCCCAGATTTGCCGATCACGCATCTTCGTGCCTGCCAACGAGTGCACCCGGGTTGTTCCAATGTACCCTTCCCAGTCAGCGATGTCACATTTACATTCTTTAGCGCAAAGTATGTACATAGCAACCTTCCTCTCAAAACATGTCATCCCTACATGCTTTGCCGACTATGTAACTAGTACATCCGGTGCGATTCGGCTAGCTTTCGACCTCTCCCCCTGGCCTCAAGTTCTATGCGTGACTCACATGACCTTTTGAGAGGACACTCAGTTGTCCATTCGGTGACCCGCCTTGAGTATTTGGAGTGCTGACCTCACAGGGTCCCAGGTATCAAAGGGTCACTATAGGTCACAGGGATGTGTCATGTCTCGAGATCATCCCTCTTCTGACTGGTGCTTAGTAGGGAATATGGGAATGGATCCAGAGGGGCCTACAGGGGTGGTTCATTCCCTCATTCCCTACTAAGCACAAGTCTGTCTTCCTACCGAAGTTGATGTTCCTGGGGTGACCCTTTTTGGGGGGTGATTGGCTTCATCACTCTACAAGAGACATAAAGTTCGGATCGAATTCCCAGCAGTCACATGTTGCTCGCTCGGGGTGGTGTGGTGTTGCATCCGGGGCCGTGGATGTGTAGCTGGGCACGCCGACGACCTCCATGGATCGCACCATGGCACAGCACGTGACTGCTGGATGTAGATGTTTCGATGAGAGATCCGTCGACTCCGGCTCCGACACCTATGGGCGCCCCCACGTCCGTCACATGGTCAGATGGTCAGGTGGTGTTGCCCGGCGTGTCCAACACGCAAGTGGAGCTCAGACTACTGAAGCTCGGCATGAAAAAGAGAGGCTGAAGACCATGGGACCTGTGTTGCACTCCCTGGAATGATCATGTCAAAAACCACCTCTTTGAGGAACATGGTCGTCCGAAGTCAGGGCTAGGCCATCCAAACCATGATTCCATGGAGTGTATCATAACCTGGGAGGTGTGACCTGGTGAGGGCGAATCCACTCGCCCAGCTACTGTGCCTCACTGTACAGTGAAGAATCCACGCCCTAGGGATCCAGTCGTACCGAACCTCAGGTTCGGTACGACTGGACCCTCCTGGCACCTACACAACAGTGTCGAACACATCACCTTCTCAGAGGGTATGTGGATCCCTAGGGAGAGTCTTAATCCACCAAATGTCACACCTCACCGACCTCATGTCACGTTTTTGGTCTGGCTCGTCAGTCACGAGCAGCCTCGCCTCGCAACATCTACATCGGAAGTCGGCAAGGAATGGCTACGCGGCTTTGTGACCATTCGGCTCTTCGACGTTTTGGGGGTTCGGTTTTCAGGATGTCGCACACACACACAGATGTCCCTGCTGCAAGAGGGGAAACTCACGGCTAGGTCGCTAGATATTTCCGGTACCCAGAACTCCCTTTATGGACTACTGTATATATTCTTAGGCCCTTAGCCGCTTTGGTTCATCAAGGACTACTTATAATATAGCAAACTAAACCCCCTGAAGGTTAAACCTTTAGCAGAAGATCTAGGGACAGGCAAGAACCTCATGTCCTTTTGAGTTTGTCATTCTTACCCATAAACTCTCAGAGCACCAACTGCAGCATCAGCATTCATTGATGTGTGTGCATGTGTATATATATATACATATATATTCATTGATCTCTTCAGCTCCACCGGATCTTTTCAGCTCAGCCTTGGTTTTTGGAAGTCCCTGTGCTCCAACCCTCCTGCCGAAAACAAAAAAACACACTCAAACCCTCCAACCCCAGCCGCCCCACGTCGTGTCGCCACGGTGACCGGAGCACTCCCAGGAAGCCGGAGCCGGGCAAGGCCGTGGGCTTCGAGCTCCTGCGCGTGCGGGACGTGAGTTCCAACGGCACCGGCATACAGGAGCGGTCAAGAAACCGGGGTTCCAGGAGGTGGAGAATGGTGGTTCGGTGGAGAGCATGAGGGATGGGCCCGGAGAAAGGGGTTGAGATTTTATGGGAAAATCTATGTAGGAAACTGGAAACCATGGTGTTCACCTCCAAGGACTGCATGTTCACCTTCATCGCTTGCTTGGGATTAGGTCTATGGGATCACCTGCCCAACCTCTTTTTGTGGGAGTAGGGAAGCCCCATGTTGGGGTTCTTCTTCTCACTCTTTTCTTTCACTGTGTCGACCAGAGTGTCAGCAGTGAAGCTGTGTAAGAATCACAGCTAGATCGATGCGAACAGGTGGAAAAAGGTCGAACCTTTAGTAAAGAGATTGCAGGAGTAAGTCAGCTAGGCAATGCTAGGATATGCTAGGCAGTCACGCTAGGTATAGACCGGTTTGGAAGACGCACTGGCTGGAGCTTTGGGAGCACAAAGGAACAGGTTTTACCTTGGTATACTGGCAACTGACCAAGTCCTACCCCAAACCATGAAATCATGCGAAATCCATCGGAGGGGTCACATGGTCGTTGCCCTGCCTTGCTGCGGCCTGCCCCATCCGACCGTCCGCGCTTCGAATCGACGGTTCCTGTGCCAGGAATCTGGATCGACCTCAAGTAAGCCGACCAAGTTGAAGAAGGCCACCGCCCCAGACCCTTCCGCCTTCCGCGTCCGTTGCGCCCCTCCCTTCGCACGGACCCGTGGTAGTCGGGTCTGAAGTTCTAAGCAGTGAAGCTGTTTTCTGGGGGCGTTGCAAGTGCACATGGCTCCCTGAGATCATCATGGAAGTGGAAAACCACCTGTTTGTATAGAACATCCTCCAAGGGACCTGAGGGGCTAATGCCATTCCACTTCCATTTGTTTGTTTCAGGGAGGGTAGTGCAAATGGGACCCTTCCTGGTACCATCATTACGACATATGACATATGAATATCGTTCCTCATGCCGACTCATGCCCACTGAATGACCAAATTTTAGACCCTCCGCTTGGCTGCATGCTCCCTGAGTCTGACGCACCCTTTTGTGGGCACACAATGTGGAAGAAAGAGTAAGTTCATCATTTCTGAAAATGATTGTTGTTTGCACCGGGACCGAGACGTGTGTGTGTGTGTGTGTTTCTTGTTCCTGAGTCCATATCCATTAAAACAATGGTTGTTTGAATCCTAGGGGTTATATATATATATATATTTGTAATATTTGGATATATTATATAAGTTGAATTCCCAGAATTGATTTCAAAAAACATCCCTTAAACCAGTTCATGTGTTTTTCAGTGTCTCGTCTTCTTTTCGGAGCAGCGTGGCAGCCTCGTGTCTCCGGCGCCTCGGGTCCGGACCAGGACGTGGATGTCCAGATTGCTCAGGGCTCATGCATCGTCTTCCCCTTGCGGACCAAGGTGAAGACTGAAACTCGGAGTCTTGAGATCTGGTGAAGACCTAGTCACCATGTGTCTAGAGAGTGTGAGTCTTGTGTGTGTCTAATGACCTGTAACAGTCAATCCATTATATGATGATTTTTGAGAAAAGCCTCCATACTAACCATCATCTGCGGTGAAGCCCCTCTAGTGAGGAAGCCCCTCCATACTAACCATGAGGAAGCCCCTAGTGAAGCCCCTCTATGTATATACATAATACTGTAAATAAATACCTTCAATCTGTAGATGAACCTTGCACCTCCACATGCAGCAGCTGGCCATCCATTGTTCAATGACACGTGCCTAAGCATCTTCCTCATCCATTGTTCGTGCTAGAAGCGATCCAAACGCATCAGCAACCTGCAATGCTTCCCCAGAAAATACTTAGTGACAGGCCGTTTGCACAACTTGGCACAAGGAAGCTCCCCTTCGTCCATTGGCATTGGTTGTTTTGACATATTCGTCGCAGAAAAAACAACTCCATGAAGAGCGCCCCGCCGGATGGATGGCAAACCAAATTCTGTGTTCATTGGTGGGTCCTCGCATGATTCTCCCTTTGACTTCTTGGTCGGGCAGTCAAATGTCCACATCATGCACATCAGTCCTCAGATAGCACCCGCTTCACATGGTGGCTGCTTAGGGCTAATTCACTTGGGCAGGAGCATTAATGAAACAACTTCTGTGAGACTCAAGCTCAACAACCAGTAGTCACGTGTGACTGCAACCCCCCCAACAGACCATGATTCTTCGAGCGTGGAAGCGCTGAGGAAGATGGTCAAGCCAGGATCACCATCAGGGCCTTGAGCGGGAAGGCGGGCGATGGTTGTCGCGCCTCGTTTGGCTCCGGGGAGTTCTTGGAACCTCCTGGAGGATCCGGAGGTGACGCTGGAACTTCTCAGTCCAAGTACAGGAGACAGATAAAGCAAAACACTGAGAGACCCTTTAAAGAACAGGTTAGAATCCATTCAACACCAGTTTATTTGATCTAAAGACACACTAACGTAGACTTTCTATTATATAAATATCCCATGCAGATGTCAATCCTCCCAGCCTGAAGATGTTTTAACACACATTCTTTGGGGTGTGTGATCAATCAGGAGTCTACATTGTGAATGGGGTTTGACATGTTTTCACCCTGCATCAGGTGAAAAAAACAACTCTTAGCCGTCACCACTGTGTCGGGTGCAAGTTCCATCCAGTCTGACCACCCAAACTGGTGGTGCTGGAAAGCCTTCATTTGGAATGGGTGTTTGATTCCCAGAATTGGTTTATCAGGGAAATTCTTCAGCAAACCGTGCTCACCCCCAAAACTAGGGGTTTCCCTGCAGAATGATTCTGAGGAGTCATTGCTTCAACTAAACCCATGTGTTTCCCGGTGTTCCCATGGTGTTCCCATGTGTTCTGAGGAGAAGGTTCATTCCCATGGCATTTCCTTAAGCCCATTCATTCCCTAAGGATCCAGTCGTAGCTTCTCACCTCAGGTTCGGTACGACTGGACCCTCCTGGCACCTACATAACAGTGTCGAACACATCACCGTACCTGAGGTTCGGTACGACTGGATCCCTATAGGGTTGGATAAAGGCCCATGATGTCTCGTGAACACCTGCCCCCGACTTGGATCCCTATAGGCCCTAGCCTTGTCGAAGACCATTCAAAGAACGGTGGTTGTTTGAATCCTATGGTAGGGATTGAGACTGATTCTGCTTTGTCCCAGGCGGCGCCGCCGCCCGATCCTCCCGTGGACGTCGTCACGAAGTCGCCCGAGCCACCGGTTCCGGTGGAGAAACTGGCGCCGGTCGAGAGGCCGGGAACGTTTGGTCTCGGAGAGTTTGAGAAGACACTGCGTAGGATCTAGGGCTCCTGGCCCATCTCCTCAGGTTCGGTGGTTAGACCCCCCTGGCACCCACCCCAACCACCGAACCTCAGGAGGTGGTTGGAGCCCTAGGGTAGGATCAAGAACTGCAAGCTTGTGCTGTCAAGAACTGCAAGCTGACTTCTTCAACCGCTGGACTTCATTGCCAGGGAGGAGGAGACGCCACTGCCGGGGGCCGATGAGCTGCTGAAGTTGGACGAGATGAAATTGGACAATGGCGACAAGGACTGGGCACTTCAGTGCCCCAGCACTCAGCCCAGCTGGGTCTTTGACTCACTTGGGGGGGGATGATCGCATTTGGAGAAGGAGTGACTGAACCCTTGTGTTTTGTGGATCCCCCTGGCTTGGGGAAGAGTTGTTCCATGTTTCGTGTTTCGAGAGGTGTCGGGCCCATCGTCCCGGAGGTGAGGAGGGCAGTGAAGGGCGGTCCGCCATGGCACGTGGCGCGTGAGTGCATGGTAAGCCATGCCGAGTCGTGAGTTGACACTTGCTGCCCTAAGCATCCTGTCGGGCCTTCCATGGGGCTCGGACCCGGACCCGACACCTTCGCAGGGGTCGGGACTGACCCTCCAAACCGGCCCCGAACCACTCACCCAGACGCTCCATGTATGCCATAATATGCCGATCAGTTGGGGTGGTTTGAGGGTTCAATGGGGCGGCAGTCCCACTAGTCGCGTCTGGGTTAGGGTGAAATCCATGTCCACCGCCTGGGCCCAGCTCTTCACGCCTCGCAGGAGGCCGAAACACCACAGGTTCCCTATGCACCGAACGAGGCGGGACCGGGACAGCTGGGACCTGCGGCCGGAAACGAGCGAAACTGGGTCTCATTGGGCGGTGGGTCGGAGGTTCTTTGGGTTGTTTCGGAGCGAAAACTCTAAGAAGATGGGAGAAACTCCGCGCCACTCTGGGGCTAAAGATGTATTAGTGAGTATTTAAATATATGAAGAGGATGTGTCATGTGTTGACTCTTTATTGTTGAACTTGTTGAACTTAAGAGCCCGGCAGAGCCACTTTCGGATGCGGCTGTCATGTGTTTTTTTCAAGACTTTTCAATACTGGATTGGTTAGAAACAATCCCAGACGCTCCATGTATGCCATGTATGCCTACATTGACCCCTGAAACCACCCCAATGTAGGCAAATATGGCATACATAGAGTGTTTGGGTATGAAACACTATGATTTTGTGTTGTGTCGATCGATGTCGATCGTTTTGGTCCGTAGTGGCTTGTTCTCAACCATTGAACTTGTCGTGCTGGTCATCTTACATTCTCATAGCATCCGAGGCATCACCCCCAAACAAACATGTACACTCCCCGAAATCGGAAGCGGAATACCACCAGGTAGAGAGCCCATGGTCATCCGGTCATCGTTTGATGTTCCATTTCCACCATTTGGTTCAAGCGGAGCCTCTCCGCCCACCCGGTCAGATGATGCGTGCACCTGCCTCCAGGGCGGAAGCACATCACCTTTCGTAGCGAAACCCCACTGACCAAGGAAGGACGAGCAGGTGGAAGCAGTTTTTTTGGCTGAACCTTTCGAAACTCCATGATTTTGTTGGGCGCTCAAAGGAGTCCGCCCTTTACTTGACCATTGTTTTCTCCAGCTCCAACACCAGCTCCAACAACTGGAGCCCACGTAGCCGGAACGAGCGCCGCCGCAACGCGCGTCACGTTTTCTGCGGTCAGGACGCTCCGAAACTCCAAGAGGGTGGCAAGGCCGAGAGACGGGCGAACCAGTCACAAGTGGTTCCGAGTTCCATTGAGTTCCATTGAGACAGGCAAGGAGATGTTTGGCATGTGGCACTTGGAAGATATATAAAGATGGTTGTAAATCGATGGATTTGTTTGGGTGTGTGTGGATTTTGAGGCGTTGTTGAAGAAACAAGATCTAAAATAAAGGGGTGCTCCTTTCAACACCCTGCAGGAGGTGTTGTTTGACAACTCACTCTATTTGTACAGTTCTCGCCCGCTTATGGTTCCAGGCAGAAGCTGATGAAGACTCAAGTAACCTTGGCAGTGAAAGACTGTTTGACCTGGGTTGCCAAAGCAGCTGGCCTGTTTCGATCGCTTATTCCAAGTTACTTATTGTTCCTTTCATGCCCGGTTTCAACAATCACACTTGGTGAGCAATGATTGAGCTCTCCAAGCCACTTGACTTGCTGATCCGACGAAGTAAACTACATTCCAAAGCAGTTCTCGAAGTAGACCAGCTCAGGGGGAAGATTCGTGTTGGATTTGTTTCAAGCATTTTTTAAAGCAGAACCCCCAAGATTTGTTCACCCCCGCTTTCGAGGAGACATTCGATCCCTCGAATTCTTGTTGTCGCCGGTGTTCCAAACTTTGCGGTTCAGATGGAGCAGAATTCGAGCACTCCAAAAAAGAGAAGGTAAGTCTAAATGCTGACCCAGTTGTCATCCTTAGAGCCTTATGTACTGGTCAGAATAGACGTCATATGATGGCTTGGAACCCAGGTGCCAACTCTCAAGGGCCATCACCAGGGGCTGCTTGAAGTTGCTGATTGAGGGTAGATATGGCTAGGATTTTGGAACACCTGTGATGTCGTGGCTGATTCTTAACAGGTGGTTCTTGCAGCAAGCTCAGGCGAAGATGACAGCATTCATGTGGCCAAGAAGCAAGCAGCTGCAGATCTGGCCAGCAAAATGCAGGAGAAACAGAAGAAAAAAGAAGCAGACGAGAAAGAGGCTGAGTCCAAAGTAACGAAATCTGAGGAGAAGGAGAAGACGAGACCGAGTTGTGGTTTCTGTTTGGGGTGGGGAGATTCTGAGAATTAGATTGCCCTTTCGGCCCCTCACAAGATCTTACAAGTGCGTAAACATGCGAAAAATCAATTAAGCCTGGCTTGAGGCGGCTTGAGGGGTCAAGCAAGCAGACTATCCTGGATATAGTTGGACAACTACGACCATTACAGTCAATGTAATCAACTGGGCCCAATCCAGTTTGTTTACCTGTGTTTAGCCTATTTCTTGCAAGGACAAATCAGATGATTCTGATGACAGCGCGGAAAAGACAAAGAAAGCGCAGAAAGAGCCTGAGAAGAAGGCGGGCTCATCGGAGAGTGAAGAGGAAAAGAAGGAGAAATCCGTCCCCAAGAAGAAGGCAGGCAGCTCCTCCGAAAGTGAAGACAAGAAAAAGGTCAAGAAGAAGCCCGACAAGGACAAGGGTGACTCCGACAGCGAGGACCGCAAAAAGAAGAAGAAGAACCGTTCAGCCTCCGGCTCTCGCAAGCGCAGCAAGAGCCGGAAGCGCAGCCGCAAGCGCAGCGGCAGCA